TGAATAAATTAGAACGAATCTCTAGTCATTTTTCATGTTTTGAAATGAAAAAAATTTGAAAGGAAAATTGATCATTATAAAATATGCTATATTCATAATTTCAACAAACAAAATTTTAAATTACAATTTATTTAATTCAAAAAATTATTTAGTTCAAAGTAATTATTTGACAATATCAACCAATTTGAATTTTGGTTCAGTCAAAAAATGCTAACTGAAATCTAAATGAATCTAAAAAACAGAACGCGGGTTGATAAAAGAAATTTTAGATCTTGATTTTGCAAAAGAATTTTGCTTCTATGTGAGAAACTTTTTTTCATTTTATTATTAACCCAGAGGTTAAAATTTATTAAAAGTATATAGAAAGAAAGATTTTTTTTAATAATTTTCAATTCCTTTATATAATTTTATTTTCATAATTGTACTACGAATTTGAATAAGTATTTTATGCATGAATTATTTGTGCGCAGTAATGGAGCAGAAAAATACAGATCCCATCCTAATTAAATCTGACTAAATTCATCAAAATCGTCGTTAAAACGCCGTGTCGAGAGGCCCTGCGGGTCTGTATATTATAAGCCTGAAATAAACCTAACGATCCTCTTCTGGTTCTCCTTATATCTGCGCGAACCAGATTCCTCAACGACTAATTACTCGCCATGGAATTGCGCGTGACCAACCAAATTCATACAAGCATGTCACAACCACTTGGCATATAGATGACACTAATTTACATCTTGCAAACGATCCTCAAGAAAAAGGATTGAGAATTATAATTAACCGCACAGCAAAAGTATAACCTGCATACCATATGGAGATCAAGATTGTACCGAATATGAATTAAAAAAAAAAAATTGCCCCTACAAAAAATCTGTATTTCAAAACTTCAATTTGATTAGATCTGTATTTTTCATGTGGATCGTTTTTATTTCTAAAAATTTGATTTCTAAACTCCAAAAATTTTAAATTTCCTCATTTTATTAAAGATAAAGTTTTAAATCTGCTTTATAATATTTCAGAAGCAAGAATTTATTTTAAATCTTTAAAAAAACTATTTTTTTGCTATTACTTTGAGATGAACTAACGCACTCGAGAATATTTATTCCCTTGCGTGTTCGACATTTCGTTATTGGTGCTAAATAAAAAGGAAAGAAGAGAAAAATACAGAAAAAAAAGGATGAGAAACATCACTGAGAGACTAATTGACGGAAGTCAAAAGAGAAAAAAACTGAATACATCTATACGAAGCGATAAAAATAAAAACTAGTTGATATGCAGACAGGGAATCCATGTAAATTAATATACGTTTAAAGTTGTTCTATATTAAAAAACAGTAAATCAAAAACCAACAAATAATACCTATATCTACGCATGTAGAAATTTTTACCAGGGCCCAGATTGGGGTCGGATCAGACTGCCCTATTAGCAAATGAAACGCCGCGCCTCATGTGTCCCCTAATTAGGAAATCCACATTTTCTGATCGCCCTAATCAGATGTCGCGTTTCATTCCCTACTACAGCCCTGATAAGGCAAATTTCTACATGGGATACAATCAAAAATTGATTATTATTTTCAAAATCAATGTTTTTTAATAACGTTAATGTTACTAATCTTTTTTTAAAAATTAAATTTTTCAATAGAAAAACAATAATTTAATAAAAATAATAATAAACAATAATTTAATAAAAATTCTAACCTTAGGCCAACAAACGATGTAGCTGAGGATGTCACACATGTTCCGGTCAATCAGTTCTGCCACAAACACTCCCGAAATCACGTTCTGAATAAAAGACAAAACACTTTTTCTATAAATATTTAAGCGATCGCGGTTTTAAGAATTTCGAACACTCCCGGAACAAAAAAAAAAATTACTAAAAAGACAAATGAAAGAAAAAAACATTCGAACTTCGGACAATAAATTTAAAAAAAAAAGAAAATACTTTCCCTAAAAAAATTTAAGCGATCGCGATTTTAAGAATTTTTCCACACTCCCGTAACAAAAAAATTTACTAAAAATGACAAAAAAAAAAAAAAAACAGAAAAAAACATTTTTTTCGCAAAAACAAAAGACGCGAGCACTCCCGAAATTAATTAGATATTTAACACTGATTTTGAAATTACAAAATTATTCACAATTAAAATAACCACATCAAAACAGGTCAAGACACGAATTGCAACTGATTGAATTAGCTTTGGGATTTTCGAACCACATTGTTGATAACCCTCAATCTATCTATTGTGTACTTCAATGTAAACATACAGCTTGTAACGCTCGCAGGTACAAAGATAATAAAATTCCAAAATCCCTTTTAAAATTCTTTGAAATATTAAAAATTATTTATAATATAATATATTTATAATTATTAATTTATTATTAAATTTATAATTATTAATTTATTATTAAATTTATAATTATTAATTTATTATTAAATTTATAATTATTAATTTATTATTAAATTTATAATTTATAAAATATAAAATTCATAATTTATAAAATAAAAAATTTATAATAATTAATACCAAAATTTATATTTAAATGAAAAAAAAAAAATTATTTTTTTAATTTATTGAACTATCTTTGTGATTTTCCAAACACATTCATGACCTTTGGCCTAAAGTATATATCCACTGTACTTTAAAATAAACATACAGCTCAGAAACCAGGTAGAAAGATAATTCCAAAATGACTTTCAACACATTCAAAATTTTCACTCTCAATATAATAAACAGGTCAAGACACGTATAATTAATTGAATTATGTTTGAAGAATATTTCACATTGTTATGATCTCCGATATAAGGTACTCTTTAATATAAACAAACAACTCAGAGGCCAGATAGAAAGATCAAAATCACTTCAACACATTTCAAATATAATTTCCAAATTATAATTTTTAAAAAATATTTCAGTCACGTTAAGTATGAGAATTACTGCGCGATTTATTTATTTTTTATTTCTTATGCAGATGAAAGTTTGATTTAATTTTTCAAATCATTAAACTAGAGATACTTTTGCCTCCCTTTTGGCATTCCTTTTATTAAATAAAAAAGTCATATAATAATGCTAAATATATTGGTTGCCTAAATAATAATAATAATAATAATAATAATAATAATAATAATCACTGAAGAAACAGTAACATTCGAGTATTACTGCGCACCAATTGTAGCAAGAAAGAAAAGTGAAATTTAAAGGTTAGGTTTCACATTGAGTTGCGCAGTAAACCTATTTATTACATGTACATAACCCCTATAAATTGGTGAAGAAAGATTAAGATAAGCTTCACTTTCTTGACATAAAGGATAAAGAAACAAAAAAATATATATTAAGCTTCTGAAATCATCAGAAATTGATTGAAATCAACTACGTATTTATACCTGCAAATCAGTGACTTTTCGCTCATTCAAATGCAAAAGAATAAATATCGCATTTTAGATATATGCTTCAAAAAAAAAAATAATAATAATAATAATAACGAATTGATTGGTACTTGATAGTATCGATTAACCAGTACAAAAGAAATACCGGACCTGGTTGAGAATCGATTTTTCAGCAGCTTGACTTACAAAGCGTGCATAATGCGCTCGTCATGCTCGGAAGGTGGTACAATCAGACGCCTCCGACATTACAAAACAGATCAGAATTTGTAATCTTTTAAGTTCATCCTTTAAGATGAATATATGACACATGTAAAACTTCTTGTAAAATCCAATTATACAAAAGTAGTGCAAAAATATTTCATATTCTCGAAATAATAAAATATATAATTAAAAAAAAAAAATAAATAAATCACTAAACTCATTTGATTTGCCACCTAGTCCTTTATAGGTACATTTATAAGAAATCAAAGAAGATATTTCAAATTGCATTTACATGGAAATTAAAAAGTATTAATCAAACACGATTGGATATATAATATATGACTTCAAATCAATATTCAGCGAAATCAATTAAAAATATATTTTGCTAAAATATTTTATTTAGCCAAGAAAAAAGTAGGATTATTATTAGAAAAATTCATGAAATCATTTGAATACATGCATTATTGGGCGCGGTGTGTTAATGTATAAAAAAAAATTATGCGTAGGTTGACGCATACCTTGAATTGACTCAAGTCAAATCAAAATTCAGAGACTACAGAGAAATCATGAGCGATTTTCTTATCGCTCTTTCATGAGAATAACTATGGCAAAAGTGACGCAGGATAATGTGGGCGTCTCAGTAGCGTGGTATGATGTTTAGTGACCAGGTGTCACTTGCAAGGTATAAAGGATGGAATATCATATTTCCTAAATCTTAAGAGCCGAGCTTTAGGGATTTGGAGCAAGATATGAAAATTTTCCTCTAGTCTATTGAAACATTAAAATTTAATATCACATAATGTAGCCAACTGCGCACGTAGATTAGAGCCCCTTAAAACCATCACTGAACCCGGATCAAATTCATCTAAAAAAAAAAAATGGTAATCCCATCGAAAAGAGAATTTTAGGTTTAAAAACTTAGATTTTTAAAATAATTAACAAGAACAAGATTTCTCTGAAGAAAGGAAGGAAAAAAACTATGTTTAGAGTGAAAATTTAAAGATGCTGCAAAAAGTTTTACGTACATTGAGTTTATATCCAAAATTTTGATTGCATCTAATTATTTAACTAATTAACAATTTCTTCAATGCATCACAATAAGCTTAAATAATCCCTATTAAATTTAAAAATTATTATACCCTACAAATATTCAGATTCCATTTTCCATTAGCAAAGTGACGCTATGCGACGCTTGCACAAATGCACAGCAACAAAAACACAATCAACCTTTCATAGGGTATTAAATATTTTGGTATTTTAAAGGTATTTTAAAATCTTACGAATAATAATTATTTATTAAATTAAATTACCGAAATAGCAGATTCAAAATTTCAGAAAATTACGATTGGAAATCAAAGCCAACATGGCGTTGCAAATCAGACCCATTTTTTTCTAAAACATATATATAGAAATCTTACCTCTAACAGCAGCGTTGAGTCTATCCAAATTAGTCAACGTCAATGGAACTGGACCAAAATGCATCACAATTTTTCCCGTATGTTGAAGATTATCAGTAGCAAAATATCTAACACCCATAAAAATTCCAGTATAACTACGACGAATATATTTTCCACACGTATCATTAATTACAAGATCAATTGATCCATTTAAAAATCCTTTAATTGACCTTTTCACTTTAACTTGCATTAAATTTCTCTTTAATTCCTTAATTTTACCAGTGAAAATAAAATCGGCTTTTTCAACTTTATCAAGAAATGCTGATTCATTTTTAATAGCACTTGTTAAATTAACACGACACTCTAAAAGTTCTTTTGTCGATGGATTAGCAACAATTAACATCACTAGAAAAATATGTCCCAGGACCAATGTCCCAAGAAAATTTACACTTCCCATTTTTAAATGTCAATGCTATCTATAAATTTCATTCCCCATGGAAAAGCAATTTTATATAACACTCTCTTTTTTTTCTTCTTTAACTTGGTAATTTTCTCACTATTAGTAAATTTCACTGGGACTTGTTAGGAGCTTCTGTAACTTGTTTTAAAACTCATTCTCCGTTGGGATTCTGTTGCTTTTTCTTCTTCTTCTTCTTAGTCTTCTATTCTTCTTCTTCTTCTTCTTGTTTGTTACTTGGAACACTCAAGTGAGCAGCGCCACTTCAACGACGATTAGACTGCGAGGACAGCTTAACCGCATAACTTGTGTTTAATTCATGCAAGATCGATGCGAGTCCACTCGAATCAGAAGGGATAAAGAATATAGTGTTGCTTCAATATAGATGAATATAGGCCTGATTTTTTAAAGTCGTGTGATCTTGAGCAACAGGTTGGCGCCGCACGTCAACCCACACGATCTACTTGCCGATTGGAAATCGCCCTGTTTCCTGCTGTTACACCTCGCAATCAACAAGTATATATATATATATATATATACACTTTTATTATTTTCCAACAAAAAATAAAACAGTTCTCTTCTTCCTTGAAATCCTTGAAACACCCAAAATGTCTAATGATGACTCACTCATTTCTTTTTCTTGAAAAAACATTTTTAAGTTTTCCAAAAACTAATTTAAAATTAACTTTCCCTTAAAAAAAAAGCTTAAAAAATTGTGGCCTTTTTGTACAAAAAATTTAATTTTCTGTATAAAATGCCTATCTGTATATTGAAAAGGTGTCATTTAGTTCGACATCGATTTCACACAGTGAGGAGATATAAATAAGAACACCTTTCAATTTTATAGTACATTAAATGAATGCTTCCAATGCTCATCACATTAATTTTGAAAAAAATTTTTTTTGTCACTAGTCACAAAAAATCTGAATCTGATTTAGAAACGAAATTTTGAACCTGTTGCTTCGCGTATCGCGTCAACAATTATCATTAAATTGTCCCCCCTCTTTCTATCTTTTTTTTTTGTTTTTCTCTCTTTTTCCCTGTGCAATGAAACGTGCACTAACCGAAGCACACTGGTTCAAGGGATACTATACTGAAATTCTCCTCGTATGTCGGGCGTGTATAGGAAAAAGGAATCCTGCAGGAGTGAGGGAGCAATGGTTGGTGGTGGTTGGTCGCGTGGAGGCACGCGCTGGACTGAGGAGGGCAAAGAGTGGAACGTGTAGGCGTCAGTTGCCTTAGACCGGAGGCTGAACGATTGCGAGAGTAAAAGAGAAGATAAAAAAAAAAAAAATTTATGGAAAAGAGAAAGAAATATTACCCGAAGGAAAGAGAAGGAAAAAAAGCGAACGAAAGGAAAGAAAAGGAAAATCTATCAAAAAGAAGATGAGAAAAATACCTGAACTAGAATAGAGTTAAGGATGAAAGGACGAAGAAGGGGTTACTCCCACCATTTTACAACGTGTGTGGGTGACGCTGGCACACTTTACACTCACACATGCTGACTGATGGTATGCAGACATTAATATAATATACACATACGTGTATAAATCTCGTCTCTTTCCTTTCTTCCCAGCCACACGAGTAAGATGAGTAAACTTTAGAAAAGAAGAAGAAGAAGAAGATTAACGGTAATTGAAAATAATGTCGCAGCTTAAGGAAAACGTCATTACTTTTTTTCTCGTTCAGAGGTTGTCAAAAAATTTGCTGCAATGCATTTACATCTGTATTTTACACTTGAAATTCTACAATATGAATCATATTCTTTAAATCTGCATCTGCATTAATTTTAATCCATTGTATTGGTGATTTTGTTACAGCCTTACAGATAGGTTTTTTTAGCCTTACGGATGTTGTATATCTGTACCAACAAAGCAGTACCCGCAGTGGGCAAAAAACATCATTGTTCTAGAAACGTTCCTAAAACAAGAATGTTTGTTTGCCCACTGGGTACTGTTTTTTTTTGATACAGAAATACAACATCCGTAAGGCTAAAAAAACCTATCTGTAACGCTGTAACAAAATCACCAATACAATGGATTAAAATTAATGCTGATGCAGATTAACAGAGGCAGACATCTAAAACATTTTGAAAAGTTTAATGACTACCAAAATTATTTAGGGTTGTATAAATATTAAGCCTAATGCTCTAAAGACTCCTAAATCTTTTGTAGATGTACATTTAGAATAAAATTCTAAAATTAATTTCCTTTTTCGAAAATGTTTGGCAAACATGAAACATTTTTAAGCAGACATTTACTTTCTAAAAACGTAAGAACATTTAATGCCCACTGAGCATTTAGAAAACATCTAGCAGATAAAATGATTTTAGAATTCTAATACTTGGAATTTATATAAATTATAATCTGTAAAGATCCAAAAGTGTCAAATCAGAAACATTAAAGAGTCAGAAAAAACGCGCTGAACGAAATCAAATGACAAGTTGAAAGATAAGTATAAAAAAGAGAAGAAGAGGAAGAAGAAGAAGAAGAAGAAGAAGAAGAAGTAAGGTGATCTAATCGTTATCTCTGGCTTAACGAGCGACAATCAGATAATTCATGGCAATCGATAATGGCGGCATAGCTTATAAGACTCGCATTGGAGTATCCCAACACCCACGAAACAGTGGGATTTATTTTAACGAGCCGTCCAGGGGAAAAGTTAATGGGTCGTGAGTACCGATTTGCCGTGTTCACCAAAGACTTATGTCAATGTCACCCTCCAAATGGGATATATCAAATGGCCAACTATAAAAAATTCCATCGGTGGGAACAACAAATTTCTATATATGTTTTGCTCACTTTTTTTATATTGTATATGTCACTTTTTTTTCTAATATTTAAAGTAGAAATAATTTCTTTTCGGCGAAAACTTTTTTTAGGCCACGCGCCAATGAGTAAAATTAACTAATTGCATCATAAATTGTAATTTTACTTTATACATATATCGTACACGCGATGGATTATTATATTAAAAGTTGTTCTATAATCCTTTGGATTTGTATAACGACCCACGCAAATATGACATGAATTTTTCAATTCCTAGTCAAATAGAAGAAACTTTTATCAATAATAAATTTCTTATAGGATATTTTTTAAAGTTTTATGTATAAAATTTTCATTCTTAGTTTTGAACATATTTGCGTTTATGATTCACATGCATGGAAAATTTTGTGACTATTTTAGCACCTAAACACACACTTCCACTTCTGTATATAGGGTTTGTCCTCCAAACAAGTAGGTACACAATACGGTAGTCAACACGAACAGCATCAAACCACAACACCCAGGGTATTGCATGTGCTTCCGACCCCTGTAATGGGAGCCGCTCGTAAATCGTGAATTTCGGTTTACGAAGGTGTGTGCCATTTGACCGGATCGTTTTACTTGATCATCACTCAATACTTTTAATAAATAACCTTTGATTTTAATGATAATGCCAGTCGTTGAAAATTTAAATAATTGACAATACATTTTTTTTTTACTTATCGGATCAAAATTTATCGATTCTTTATAACAGAAATTTTTTGTATACAAAAAGGGGTAGAACTTTACGAAAAATTTATTTTCATTGTTAGTTTCATTATACATTACTGTATAGTATTGTAACCAGCGTACAAAAGATGACGAAAAACAAGTTGGAGGTGGACGAGAAATAAAAAGAAGAAAAGAAATAAAAGGTTGAAATACGATGAGAGAGTGCCTCGAGCACACGCACACAATTTGCATGCGTGTGTTTTATGTTCGAGGACACATAGGCCCTTATTTGACGACGATGAACAGTATATGTTTTCAGGTGCAGTGCAAGGATATGAAAATAAGAGAAGTAGAATTTCTATTATCGCCATGAGTTAAATTCTATTAAATGAAAACTAATTGTGTTAAACAAATGCAATTAACTTGAAGAAACTAACTAGAAAATAGAATTTAAGCTAAGACTATATTTTCTAAACAGAAAATAATTTTTAATTTAATTCAAAAATATTAAAAATTAAGTCTATTAGGTTATTTCCAGATTTCCAAGTATATATGTAATCAGTTGATATGCTTTTATTGAATCTAAACATCTTAATAAAGAAGTTAAAGATACTAATCGTATGTAGTTTTAAGTACTGCAATAAAACCGGACTTCATCCAACAAAGTACCAGGCAGTTAAATTAATTTTCCTTTATTTCTGTTAAATAAACAGGTTTTATAGATTATTTTTCTAAAATAAAAAAATTATTTTTACTTTCATATTTTCTATATATATTAGAAAAATACTTGATTTTATGATCTAAATCGAAAACCCATAAAATTCGAAGAATATCCTCGTAAAATTCGAGAGTAACATTGTTTACAGATGACTATAATAAACATCACGTGAAACACAAAAACAAAAACCATTATACAACCATGTCAATGGTTGATGTTTCATATTCTAAAAGTCAATTTATTACTTTATTAGTTACAATCTAAATTTCCTTTAGAGGCAATTTACACATCATTCTATAAAGTTTAGTGGAAAATTTTATAAGACTGAAATAGTTCTAAACTTTTTCTATAATTTAAAAATATCGACAATTACAAAAATATTATAAATAAAAGAAAAAAAAAAAAAAACTATTAGGAAGGAACAGAAAACTTCCGCGTGGGCAAATTCAAGATGGAGAATCAGCAGAGGCGTTCGTATTCCAAGTCAACGGATTTATTTGCAACATACTAAACCGACACAAAACCAAAGGCTTAATGAACTGAAGCCGAATAGAACCGCAAAGAGGCGTTTTCACGGGCTATTAATGTTTATAGATTATAGCCCCTAGCGTCTTGCTTCCGATGTTTTTGTTTCAATAAGTGTTTTGGTTAAATAATAAAAATTTATTAAACAAATTTTTATAAATTATTACCTACAACAAATTAATTAATCAATATTTTAAAAACGCTAAAAAATTCCTTTTCATACCAATGTCCAAAGAGAAAAAACTTACCTAACAATTATATGTTAAATCTGCTAGGAATAATCGTAAAGACACATTGATTTTTGCAATTCAATCACACCCACATGATTTTCATCATGAATCATCACACTTTACATGTCTCATGTACTTTCTTTTTTCTTTTTGGCTTTTTATATAATATATATTCTACATGGAATAATCTAATAAAACATTAACCAATGATCCTTAAATTTTTGACAGCAGTTAAAATTAAATCATCAAGAGACATACACAGAAAATAATAATCTCTTAGAGTGGTCTTGAATGACCAGGCGCACTCAACTCGAACAATCGAACGCATTTATAAAAAATTAATTCATATATCTTATACTTAATAATTTTTTAATTTATCCGCAAGTAATTAAAAAATTTATTATAATGTGATGCGCCTCTAAAGAAAAATTATTTATTATTAACTAAAAATTTTGATATTTACATTGTGCAGTAGCAAATGTAGAATAACTTGAAAATAAATTTGTTTAATACTTTGAAAGGTGTCAAGAAAAAAAAAAAATAGGTGAAAATCAGGTGTATATAAGAAGTGGCGCTGACAACGAGCAATTTGTTCTGACAAACGAGCATTTTCGTGAACCCATGGCGCGAAAACAAAATCAATCGGTGGCCGAATCATCGTAAATTATCGTGAAACGACGACTTGACATGGCCAAACGTCGAAATGTTGTCAGTCGGCCGAAGGTAAGCATAAAAATGTCAGCCTCTTTGCCAAGAGAGTGGCTCTATACAACAGGAATTTTTCTGTGTATTCCAAAAAAAAAAAAGAAGAAGAAGAAGAGACCTCTCGCAGTTAAAAGCTGATCACCGCAAAAGCACGTTCTTCTGTGGCGTTTCCTTCGACAAGCGGAGAAATGTGACCCCGAGTTAAATGTAAATATATTTCATATACAAAAAAAAGAATCCTGACAAATCTTTTATGCCGACAGTACTATATGATTTTCAGGCAAAAATTTTTATTAGGATTTTAAGAATTTAAAACGATTTAGTCTATAAATTTTTTTATTTATGGGTAATTGCCGATATATAAATAAGGCACCATATAATTAGTCAAAAGTTGTACGTCATCGATATTAAAATCTATATATAAAATTAATGTTTTTCTGATATTCATATAAGAGAAGGTGAGAATTATCACGTGGCGCTAATATTAATAGCAATACGGCATGCATGTTTGTTATTA